GCACAGTCTTGTGGACATAATGACTGGATAAAGCAGAGGGTGGCAGATAGCTACATAGCGGTCATAGGCCATAGAAGAGAGAAGGAAACATTGAGCAGCAGCAAAGAGAACATAAAGGCAAAGCTGGGTGAAGCAGCCCAGGAAGGAGTTGCTATTGGTGGAAGTCAGTAAATTATATAAGGTTTTAGGGGTGACAACACTCGAGTAGCTGAGGTCGAGAAATGACAGGTGAGTGAGAAAAAAGTACATGGGGTGTGCAGCTGGGGATCCAGGAGAATGAACACTATCATCCCTATGTTCCCCAGCACCGTGATCAGGTAAATCAGGAGGAAGAGCACGGAGAGGACCAGCTGTGTCTCTGCAGAGTCCGTCAGCCCCATGAGGACAAAGCCAGGCATATCGGTGTAGTTCCTTCTACTCATGGTGCAACGTTTTAAACTAGTGAGAAGTCAAAGTTGATACTTAGCTGGAATCAATTATCAGACATTGTATGAATAACTGTATTTTCATAATTAGTTCAGTGTTTGAACAGTTTCCCAAAAGAGACTGAGAATATCCACTTTCCTTGTGTAGAAATGCTTGTAAACTGACATCAGCAGACGATGCAAGATAACGTGCTATAGAATTAGAGTGAGCCTGACGCTCCTCCTTGGGCTTTCCTTGATTAGCACATTTAATCCCCGACTACACAGCAACTATGATCCACATACTGTAGATAGGAATCTGAAGTCAGAGCAATTACAGTGTGACACCGTTAGACTCCATTTCCACGCATAAATATTTTAGCAAAACTAAGAAATGTCATGAGGTGAGACATGACAGGAGGCGATGTTAATACATCAGTTACTGTCCTTCTGAGCTTGATACCATTTTGTACCAATTGAAATTATACAGTTCCTTTTGCACAGTTAATGAGGTACATTAGTACTATAGGCCAAATTGAAGTATTACCTTTCAGAATGTGTACTATTTTGGTAACTTGACCATTTAAAACCATTTTCCCCAAATTTTAATGTCAAAATATGGACATTCCTTCTATATTCTGATTCCACCCACTCTATATTATTGTATCTACACATCCTGGCATTTTAAACATAAGGTCCAAATGCTATGAGTTTGGATATTCTTCTGCAAAAGCTGCGATTTTGATTTATCAGCTCTAAAATATTGTAGTTGTAAGAATAATACTCAGTGTGATCCAAAGCTGATAAAAATGACTTCCAATATTATCTTTCTAGAAAGTAGACAACTCTCAAGTTTTTATCAGAAATAATCTATCAAATGCAATGGATACCTTAAATGTGCCAATAAACTCAATTAAAAAAAGGAAAAACCTGAAAATTTCTGTCACATCATATCTGTTTTCCTTATAACAGCTGCCTTTAGATTTTTGTGCTTCCATTATGTTACTCTGAAATGATCTGATCCTGAAAGGTGGTGCTGGACTTGGGATGTGGTCTGACTGTAATTTCACAGGTAATCTCGGAAGAATCTGAGGGAGCAACAGTGACTATAAACAGTGGTGTACACCTTGTTTCTCTCCTACTGTTCCTTGGAGCCTCATAACGGGAACGGAGCATAAGGCAAACTTTGTTCGCCCTCAGGGAGCAGCTGCCAGGCAGTTGAGTCAGCATGCTTCCAAATTTAAAACTTCAGGAAAAATTGAGCTAAGGGATTGTTTATTCCTTCACACAGTTTCCACAGCGGAGAATATAACTACTCAGTATTCTTGGTGGTGCTTTAATTTTTAATAAGAAATTTTTATGTTTTGAACTGGTGAATAATACATAAATTGTAAACTAGAGATGTTTCCATTTTTATAGTCATATCAGGACATCTTTGACCAAGTAGGAAGATCAGAAATTTCCAGAGAATACCTTAGTTACTTTCTCAATAGCATTACTGAGAATGGTAAATTTTTTACTATAAAACACTTTATATTTAAGAGCATGATTCCACCATAGGAGTAAAACATGCGTATTTTTAAAAAATAGAAACAAATCAAAAAAATCATTGAAAGCAATTATAAACTTTTAAATTTTTTGACAAATTACAATTTCTCCTAATCATTTCTTTACATCCCATAATAATTATATAGATATGTAACTATGTATTTCCAATGGTTGTTATATAATCAGTATCTCCTTTTTAGTCTGCAATTTTATAACATAATTTGACCCATATTATGTGTATGTAAATATAAAAGTGGCTATTTCAGGACTTCCCAAGAACTTTAGCAGATAATTTCTGTGGTAGACAAAGGATCTATCTCTGTAAGTATTTGCTGTCATTAATGTGGAATGGCATTGTTGTTCATCATGCTTTTAGTTTACCCTGAGACAGGCTCCTATGGAGGTTTGAAATCCATCACCAAACTATGAGACACCTCGTTGACCTTGAGGCTTGAGCTGAAGGGAGGCTTAGGTGACATTTTCTATCAGTGCCACTTCAATACACAACATGCACTACAAAATTTCCTATTTTTTCATAAAGTACAAAAAATTATTTAAAAATCTCACATGGAAGGCTTTGTTGTGCAAGGGATTCTGAACACTGAAACCTATTTGATTTGGGTTTAGAGCTTTTGATAGTTGTGATTCTTGATTAACCTATTCTAGTACCTTTTATGCATGGCCTGAAGTCAAATCATCAATTTATTTCACTGAGCATTACCATTTTAACTTTTAAAAATTGTAGGTGGCATATTTTGTTATTTTAAATAATCACCTATATTATATTTTATTTTGATCAGAAAATAAGACTCAAGCTTTAAAAATTTGTGGATTATTTGAAGAAACATTACAAATAAATCAAAGATTCTGACAAAGAAAGATTCAAATGCCTATGTGGGTGTCTACACTTATATCAACTATATAGCCTGTATGGATAATAAATGTTAAGCAAGTAAAAATAAAGGTCCAAAATAATGCATGCAACGTGTTGGACCATGAGATGTAATAAGAATAATGAAATGCCATGTGATACAGCATGAGCTGCCTTCAGCTATGTATTGTCTTTATGAGATGAACACCAGTGACACAGGAGGTATGGGATCTCCTCACCTGTGACATCAGACATCAAAGTCATATGTGTATGCAGCATGTGACTTCCATATATTTAATACTATATCGTAACTATTCTGAAAGCAATACTCGATAAGGAATGTCTCTGTATATTGCTGTGCCATATTGCTATATATAAGTTTAGAAAAATCATTCTAGAAAAGAAGTTTCAGCAAAATAGATTTATAAAACACTGTCTATGCACAAATGTCTGAACATCAAAGAAATATACAACTGTAAGACAACATCCGTTACCCTAAGAATACATCATTGCACTTTGAAAAGCCAATAATAACACGGAGAAAGGGCTTAGTTACACATCATATTAACATATTTGTAGATGTTGTTAAGACTACAAATGTTAAAAAGCAAAAGAACTCACAGTCCTTTTGGAGAGAAATTTTACAAATAGTTATTTTCTTTGTAAAATAGTTACTTTTCTTTGTGGAAGATTATGTCTCATCAACATAATCTTAGTGTTTCTTTCAATACATATGTTACATACTATAGCCCAACTCTAGTTACTGTTCAACCATTTATAAACAATTAATGCAGTGTTCCCATGGTCATTTTTCAAAAATACTACAGAAATTTATTAAGTATACACTCTTTACAGGAAAATAGTTCACACACACTGATTTCCTTGCCTTAGTACTAATCATTAACAGGGTCTTTATGATTCAAACATTAGAGAATTCTGACAGATTAGCTACATACATAAAAAATTCCTTACACCTTAATTTTCCTTTTTCTACCTGTAATATTTCAAACACACAAATACATTGGGGAGCACATTCACACATATCCCTAAATTTTATCATTTCTTTGGATTTAGAGAGACATATTCTACTCGTGTGTAAATCATGGCCCACGGTGGCAGTGGAGAGCCTTCTTGATAAACAGATCACCTTCTGTGTGCATATATTTCTTGACTTATGATGGGTCATGTCCACTAAACACAGTGTAAAATGAATACATCATAAATAGAAAGTGTACTTAATACCCTGAACTTTCCAAATGTCATTGCTTAGCTTAGTCTTCCTCAAAGATGCTCAGGACAGCCAAATGAGCACGGGGATTCACCTAACACAAGCACAGTCTGCATTATACTGAGCACCTACATCCCAAAGTTGGGCACCGCAGGACCCTGGGGTGTACCACTCATTTCCTTCATGACCGTGTGCAGCTGGCTGGAAGCCCCGCTCCTCCGCTCCCCACATGAGATGTTGCAGGGCTGCATGGCTAGCATGAGGAGAGATCAAATTCAAACTCTGAAGTAGGATTTCTAATGAATGTGCTTCCTTTTTATGCATTGAGAGAGAAAAGCAAATACCTACATGCCAAACCACAGCAAATCTAAAACTGTCATCACAAATCCTAGGTATAAAATGTAAGTTGTGACCGAATGACTCCACAGTATAGAGATCTCTCTGTCCTAGCTCGTGTCGGTTGTCTCTGCTTCTGCTGAAATCACATCTATGTCTATAGTTAAATACATTTTACCCCCAGGCACAGTTTAGGGTTGTTATTAAAAATCTGGCATGCTTTCTCCTTAATCATTTATTTCTCTACTTGATTTTCTTATAGCTGAGAAAACATAGTGTCTGACTGGGTCAAGGGGAGTTTAGATGTGCTCATGTCCAGGCTCACATGAAGGGCAGATGCCTCTTTTACTACCTGTGTCTGCTGTGTCTGAAAACCAGATGTGCTCAAATCACCTCCTCATAGGGTGACACAGATAAACAAATTACATACAAAAATACACACACATTCGCAACATATAAACAAATTAAATAATGACTGCCCCCAAATCTCAAGGCTCAAAGATTGCATTAGTTTGTTATACCTTTAAAGTTGCTGTCCAATTTTCCTGATGGTTGGGTTAATTAAATGCCCACAAACATCCAGGTTTCTTTTGAGCGTTACATGTGGAATCTGTCACAGAAACCATTTCCTGGGCAGGATTCTCAGGAGAGCGTCTTTCACGTCTTTGTTCCTCAGGCTGTAGATGAGAGGGTTCAGCATGGGGATGACTATAGTATAGAACACAGAAGCCACCTGTGCCTGAGTCAAGGCTGAAGTGTTATCAGGCTGCAAATATGTGAAAATCAGGGACCCATAGAAGACGGTCACACCAGTGAGATGGGAGGCACAGGTGGAGAAGGCCTTCTGCTTGCCCTCTGCAGACTGGATCCTCAGGATGGCTGATAGGATGGCCGAGTAAGTGCCAGTGATGATGAGGAGAGAACTGAAGATCGTGAACCCTGCCAAGACGAAGATCACCAGTTTCGTGTTGAATGCTTCTGTGCAGGACAGGGCCAGCAGGGCTATGGTGTCGCAGAAAAAGTGATTGATGCTGGAGTCGCAGAAGGACAAACTGCTTATCACACACACAGAGACCAGAGAATTCGTGAAGCCTACGGTAGGGCATGGCTCCCAGCCAGTTGCACACTTTCTGGGACATGACCACCGAATACAACAAAGGATTGCAGATCGCTACGTAACGATCGTAGGCCATGGACCCCAAAAGAAAACATTCGCTGCACACCAAGCCAACAAAAACGTACATCTGAACAAAGCAGCCCACGAAAGAGATGTATTTCTGCTTGGACTGTAGATTGGCCAGTGCTTTGGGTGCTACGGTGGAAGAATAGAAGACGTCAATGAATGCTAAGTTACTAAGGAAAAAGTACATAGGTGTGTGGAGCCGAGAGTCAGTCCTGATTAGTAAGATGAGTCCCAGGTTCCCCAAGACGGTGAAGAGATAAATGAACAGGAACACCAGGAAGAGGCAGACTCGGAGCTCAGGGTGACTTGCAAATCCAGAGAGGCTGAAGAGAGACACGTCAGTGAAATTGACCCCAGCCATTTCTGACAACTCGGGCCTTTGTGCTAACCTGCTGCAGGACCAAAGAAAGTTTGAGAAAGACTCCTGTCCTAAGATGGAATAATTAGAGCTGACTTAGACGCCTAGAGCGACAGAAACGAAATGTTATTGATTCTAGGTTTTTTGAGAATTCATGCTTATTTTTACTTTATTCAGAGCTAGTAGGCACTAATAACCCAGATTTGCACAGAATTCACAGCACTATAAATATTCTCTCTGGAGGGATCTGAGGAGAATCCTACAGAGTTTTACCACAGTCTCTTTTGGTCTATCCCTAGTCCCCAAGTCACAGAAGTAGTAAATTATTTAGTACAGTTTATTACATCTTACTCTCCAAAATTATAAGATCGTTTAGGAACAAAAACTAAGATTTTTGAATTTATTGATAGTTTTGTTTCAGGGGTACTATTTTCTAAATATATAACTTAGATGGAGATTAATGAAGTTTGAAAATAATTCTAAAATAAAGTAGAAAGGTTAACCTCATGCTACATGTTAATCCAAGCATACTATACTTAACTTTTTTCCTTCACTTACCCTTTCTCTCTGCTGGTGATCGGAGGCCTCTTGAAGACCTTAGTGATAACAGTTCAAATTGATTCCTTTTGAAACTTGATTTTTTTCCAGTGTAAATTACATATAGAATCATATGATAATTGCTTCATTCTGGAGCAGTAGTTTCCAATATTTACTAATAAGTATTCCAATAATTACTGAGCATTTGCTGAAAATAAAAAAGGGATTAAATTGTATGGATTGGATTGATATTGGGGAAAATACTTTTGTAACTGACTTCCCATGATAAGAGCAAAAAATGTACTAAAAAACGAAAAGAAAGGGGAAAATATGTGTTAAGTACAGAAAACTGTAAGAGGTATGCATAGTTAAATCATATTTGCTTTAGCCATTTACTATAATAACCAAAAGGGACTTGAGTTATATTAACGGCAATTAATTATTTAAAGTGTCTCATGCTCCCACATGGTCCTATTCATTCACTCAACAAGGATTTATTCAATGTAAACAAATTGTCTTGCATGTCACTTGTATTTTGATGACCCCCTGAAAGACGTAGCCAAGTAAAAAGGAAACAAAATTAAGTGTGACACACACACACACACACAAACACACACACACACACACGCACATACACAATTTTTGAAAATAAAAGGATGGATAAATCAGGTTTACCTGGGATTCAGATTTTCAAAGCCAATTCATCTCTCCTGCAGTCCTCTTCCATCTATTTTTGGTCCGTGTTCTTCCCTCATCTATAATTTTGGATCTCATGCATTGCCAATGCAATGGCTTTGATCAGCAATTGCTGCAGCTGCATCTGCCGTTGCTGGCCACAGGGCTTTCCCTGCCCTTGTGAACACCCCGCTGCACTATCGCGCTAATGAAATTGCTTGTCCTTTCGACGACAGTTGTGGGTGTTGTAGAAATTACCTTCCTTAATGAGATAGAAATTAAAGCTAAATTAAGTCAGCTTATTGTTATCCTTCCTATCTAATTAAAATTGTTTTATTAGCTGAAACCCGGCATCGTAGTTAGGATTAATTTATCTCTTCATATACCTGTAAAGCTACCCTGTGATAAACAATTTTCTCTGCAATCTAGTGTGTTACACAGAAGCCTTATACTTATCTCTTCCCCAAACTCTTTTACTCTCCTCATAATAAGAGTAATCAATTAGCATTTTTGATCTCTTGAGATTTATATTTTAATTACACCCCAAAGTCTGTATGTAAAATGCATGCAAAGCTTCTCCATGTACAAAATAAATCTTAATTGAAAAGAATATTTTCTCCATCTCTTGGTCCCTTTCCCTTTTGCAAAGGATCAATCTTCCCATTTCCTGGTAGCTATCTTACTTTTTTCCAGAATATTGATTTATTATTGCTTGGTAAAATATTTCTTATATTAAATTAAAAATCTTGAGACAAATGTATATTATAACAGATAGTTAGAAGGCAACAAGAATATATATAAATAAATTAATGCACATTTATTTATAATAAATACTTCCTTACTTAACAAAAGCTTTATTTATTTTTTCCACTAAGTTTATTGGTACATTTTATGTACACAGTACAGTTGCATTCATCATTGGTATCGTGTACCTTTGCATGACAGGTCTTGGGTCTTGTTTTCCTCTCCTGCTTTTAAAAATTTAGTATTGCAATACTGGAACAAAGCAGAATTTTCATTCCTAGGGGACAATGATCTCTAATTGTAATTGTCAAGTCAAAGAACTATTAAAATGAGTAAATTCTGTTACAGATGTGTCATCTATTACTTATTAAGACAAGCATAGGGCCGGGAATTTAGCTCATGGCACTGTACCTGTCTTGTAAGCACAAGGTCCTAAGATGAATCCCAGTTAAAAAAAAAAAAAGACAAGGCTCAAGCATATTATGTTTTTTCCTGTGTATTATGCATCTTGACAAAGTGGAACTTCGAAAGGATTGGGTTGAATTCTCAAAAATCTCAAAAATATTCAATACACATGGACCAAACAGCCATTGCAAGATGTCACTATGCCTTGGGGGAGATTGCAGTGAGGACAAGGAGATGATTTCTACTGTCAGGCTGCCTAAAATTGGATAAAAATTCAAAATTTCCCTGCGTTCTGTAGCACTCTGAGTGGGGTTTTCTGTGGTAGAGTGAAAACCGGCATTTCATTGTCAGGGGCTCTGGTTGGCCTCACCATAGGGTAAGTGCGCATTTAACCGCTTACTCCATGGCATGCACAGACTCCCCAAATCCTTAAATTTCCATCAAGCATTTTTAATTTTTTGTATATATTTTTAGCCTTTTCCAGTTTCTTAATTTGCTTGAATCAACTTCTCTAGTTCTAACTTCTTGGATAATCATAGTACAATTATGACCATAAAGGAGTTCACATTGATATAATAATAGTATTAAATAAATACAAACCTCTCCCATTTCCCCACAGAAGCCCTTTTGTTCCTTTCCAGCATCCAACCCAGCATGCTGTACTGAAAATAATTTCCTGTCTCCTCAGGCACCTAAAACCCTAACTCTTCAATATTCTTTCCTTTCCTGACTATGATAGCTGTTAGGGTGTTGGTCAAACACTTACAGAATGCCTTTCTATTGGAGCTTGTTGGATATCTTGTCATGATAAAATTAAGGTGATTTATTATTTGAAAGAGTTCCCGAGAGGTGACACATGTATTTTTTCACCTTATCTCAGGATATATGACATTGTGCTAAATAAAACAAATTAATGGCTGTGATACATATTCACTATAAGTTTCTGGATCCTTTATGTATAATCAAAATATTTCTAAATAATTTTACTTTAAAATTTTACCACAAATTTTGATCACCCCTTGTAAAGTAGGAGGCATTCCAGTATGGTTGAGTAACGTTTTATGGGCATTTTGCCAAGATATCAGTTTTATCACATTCCCCACTTTGACGATTTATGTCTCTACAGTGAAATATTTCATAGAGCTAAACAATCCAAACATAATCTTAGTTGATACTTATTTTATTATGGTCCATAAAGAATACCTCATTACGCCTTTGTTTAATATTGACATACCAATTTCTAGTAATAATTGAAAATATTTTAGAGCTAAACAATGCAAACATAATCTTAGTTGATACTTATTTTATTATGGTCCATAAAGAATACCTCATTACGCCTTTGTTTAATATTGACATACCAATTTCTAGTAATAATTGAAAATCTTATTCTAGAGCTGTTATTTTTAAAATATGTAAAGAAAAATGGAGAGATCTTCATTATTTTTATTTATTCATTCCCTCTTAACTATCAAATATACCACTACCTACTGTCAATCATATAAAATAATTAACTCACCAACCTCTTCAACAAATAAATATTGAGCACATATGATGTGATAGTCGCTGTCTTTTGAGACAATGAAGTAAGTAAGAAGCAGTGATTTCCTCGCAAGAATGATGTCCACAAGAGGAGATGGAAATGAAAGTCAAATTGTGTAACCATTTCTGCAATGCAGTATGCAGTGATAGAACAAGGGAACAAGGTATTCAATTTTGTAGAACAAGATTTTTTACTTGTATATATCATCTATTTTATGCATTTTATATGCAGCTCAGGATTATTTCTCATCACTCATTTCAGCCCACGCAAGTGAAAACATCAGACATCAACACATGATCTCATCCAGTCCCTCTTTGGAGAATTGAAGAATGGTGAATCTGGCCAACTCAGTAGGTACCAGGCTTGTATGATGCTTCATAGAGAACTTGTATCCAAAAACAAAATGAATAATGTAATGGGACATAGCTGCAAAGATAGTGGTGATACAAATTGTAAGAGTCTAGGTTTGAGAAACTTGAAGGATATTGAGTTTAAAAAAATCTGTTTTTACAGAATGAGATGTAAAATGCACAAATGTCCTTTGAAAGAATGAATTTGTACTTAGACTTTCTTATTTATCTTGGTTAGCTTGAGGAATAATTTTATATTTCACAGTATGTTCTATAAAAATGACCTGGACTAGATTCCAAATTTTGATAAGTAAGGAGGCCTAGCATAAATACATGTGTTCTTTTCAGTAGATCTTCCTGTAGTATTCACAAGGAACTTTTTCCAAGACCTACCACAGATACAAAATCTACAGATGTTCCCATCTCCTATAGAAATGATGCAGTGTTCGCATATAATCTGGACATACCATCTCAAATACTTTAAATCATTACTTATAATGTCATTCCTAATTATTTATAATACCTAATAGGAGGTAAAGGTCATGTAAATTGTTCTTACCCTACATTTTTGAATTATATTCATTAGTGTATTACTTTTATTGCTTTTTCTTTTTCTCTGCTATTTGCAGTGTGTGTCTGGTTCACTCCATCGGCTTAGAACCTGTTTACATAGGCAGAACGTCACTGTCTTCGTCTTACACATTTCTATCCAAGGCAAAATCCATTTTGTGAACTAAGAATAATGATTACAT